AGTTTCCTTATATGTAAATTTGAAATAATAATAATAACACCTACCTCACTGGGCTGTTGTGAGGATCAAATGAGTTAACATGTGTAGAGCCTTCTGCAAGCTGTAAAGTCTAAATTATGTAAATACTAGTTGTTATAAGGGAACTGAGGTCCACAGAGATAAAAGTGACTTGCCCAAAGTCACACAAGCATTAAGGGTTTTGGTTTGCATTTTTACCCAGGTCCTCTGACTTGAAATAAAGAGATCTTTGTACTGCGCCACGACATCCTTCATGAGACTTTTAAAAAATGCTTCAGATTGCTTTGTTGTGTAGAGGACTTCCAATGATGCTGAACACAACCACTGTGAGCCTTAGTTGGGGGGTTTCCCTCAGTGGTGGTGATGGAAAAAAATGGATGATCACTTTGGGGCAAAACTTCTGCTAAGAATTTCTAAAATTAAGCTTGTTCTATGACAATGGAAACATACAGTCCATCCTTGGCCCTGGAGATGAGGCTTTTCCTGCTAGGCTGTTGCTGCTCAGCTGTGTCTGACTCTTTGTGACCTTGTGGACTACATAGCATGTCAGCACTGTCCATGGGGTTTTCTTGGGAGTGATTTGCCATTTCCTTCTCCAGTGGATTAAGGCAAACAAAGGTTAAATGACTTGCCTGGGGTCACACAGCTAGTAAGTATCTGAGGCCACAGTTGAACTCAGGTCTTCTTGACTCCAGGACAAGCATTCTATCCACTGAGCCACCTAGGTGCCTCCAGCTAGTACCTGCCAAACCAAGGGCTTCACCTGCACAGCCTTCCCCAGCCTAGTAGAGCTAGTAGAGAGGGAAGCATGTTTAATTCTTTGACTATATCACAAAGTTGACGAAGACCTGTGCTTCTCTATTTTGTCTCTCTACAGTATGGCTTCTCAACCTAACTTTCTCAACCATGAGCTTTTGTTTTTGATGACTGCGTTTCAATGTGATTGCTTTCCTTTGTAATATTATATATTTTATGTATTTAAAAACATGATTCTGAGAAGGGTTCCACAAGCTTCACCACCAGACACGGACCAGAAGGGGTCCATGACACCAAAAAAGCTTAAGAACCCTCTAATCCATAGTTTTATAAAGGTTGGATTCCATTAGAGAAAGGTGAAGTGAGCAAGAAGATATTACTACATGGACTGGTGAGTGAGTGCCAAGAGCTGATCCTTGGAGCACTGTTAGCATATAGAAGGAATCCTGCCAAGTATCCTAATGAATCAGAGTAAAAAAATTCAGGTTCTGGAGATGCCGGCCAGCACACCGTACAATTGCTATGAAATACTCCATAAACAGCTACGATTGCTTGATGCCAGAAGGAAGGTATCTCATCACATGCAGACTTTAAAAAAGACAAAAAAACCACAAAGTGATTGTGAGTCTGAGTTCCAAGTGATCAGAATTCAGCGGTAAGTAGCCATATTTTCTCCTAAATAAAGAGGATACTTACTTGAGAGGAAAGTGATAGAAGGATATGCACTCAACCTTGCAAGCTGACCTGTGGGTGAAAAAGGATATAAAACAAGAGAGGTGACACACCAGGCCAGGGAGGCAGCCAAGCCGGTGAATTATTTGGATGAGAGCCAAGCACACAAAAAGAGTGGCAGTGGGAGGCTGGGGAAGGGGAGGAGAAGAGGGAAGGGTGGCTGGAGCATTCATATAATCAAACACCTGTACATTCACAGAAAATCATCTTAAATTCTTCCAGACACATTTCTTCTGGGGTTCTGACATTTTATTTCTGGCCGCCATTGCGGTATCTGGTCATAGAGAAGAAAGCAACGTGAAAACAGCTTATGGCTCAAAAGAGATTTCTTCATCTCAGAGAGAAGACTGTAAAACTCTGAGTATTTCCTCAATAAGTTTTACCCATCAGCATGATTCCTGATATGTTTTAAAAAAATCAGATCCAATGTTCTGTAGCAGAAGGGTGACCTCCGCCTAACTCGTGGAATGCCTGTAGTCACAGTTCTGGTGTTACCCAAAGCCAGAAATAACTGAGTTCCAAGAGGGAGGCCAAGCTGAGGAGCCTAGAAAAACATGAACCCAGGCATTGATAATTTTACTACATTCTCTGTGTACATGAAATAGAGCCAAATGAGAAACATGTGGGGATATCATCAGTCAAGATTCCCTGTGACTTTCTAATGGCTTGATTCCAAGCAAAGTGACATATCTCTTCCTTGCTGTGGAATGCAGTGAACAGCCTAGGGAAAAAAAATCTTCACTGATCTGGATTTTAGCAGCTTTATGCAGGTGTCTGTAGCATTTTATGTATTTATAAATATGTATAAATAAATATGATCGTATATTTACAAATGTTTGTATATTTATAAATAAATGTTTATATAAAACACATAACATATTTATATATAAATATTCATATAAATGTTTTATGTTCACATATGAAAATTCATATATAAATATATTTTATATATTTATTGCTCTATTGATCCATAGACAAGTATCTATATCTATAGAAAGAGAGAAAGAGAAAGAAAGAGGGGGGGAGGGGGGCAAAGGGAGAGAGAGAGAGAGAGAGAGAGAGATATTGATTCACAGTTTTTTAAACAACAGGGTTAACATGTTAGTTGTCTTTGAAAGCAGATGTTTCCTAAAGTGCTTTTGAGACCAAATTAATAAAGCCTAATGAAATGTCAGGACTTAAAGCCCTAAGGTAAAAAGATACAGAGATCACAGCAAAGATGGGGCCAAGATCTATGATTTTGGTATTCTCTTCTTGTAAAAGTACAATAGGATGATTTTAATTGCATTTTCTTTTATCAAATCATTGTCCAGAAGAATTATAGAGGTTGAGAAGCCATGCTTTCTTTTCTTTGGTTGGGGGGAAGGGAAGTATTTCCTTTTGCCCTGTAGTCCTCCAGGGAGAATGTTCCAAATTTTAACTTAACGTGTCATGTGAGAGTCAAATAAAAGGTCATTTTTTTCTTCTCTGGTGAACTTTGAAAGAAAGAAAGGAAGGAAGGAAGAAGGAAAAAAAGAGAGAAAAAAAAAAGAAAGAAAGAAAGGAAAGAGTACAGCAGACACCAAAATGCAGAGAAAGCTAGCCTGCATACTCAGGAGGTAATGTAGGTAGGTAGTATAATCTGATGGGGTCTACAAAAAGGCACAGACACACTATATGCACCAGAGGCCTTGAACCTCACTGAAAAGCATGAAATGCCTGTCCTGAGAAAAGAAAAAAACAGAAAGGGAAATAAACATGGGAAGACAGCTAAGGAATTAGGGAAAGACATCATTGTCAAAAATTTACATATTATTCTCTCTGAATTGGGATTTAGGGTTAGAAGGGATCTTAGAGGGTTAAAGGTCACTGGGTTGAAACTTTTCCTAAAATATGAATCCCCCAAATAACATTCCTGATAAGTGGTTACTCAAACTGAAGTTGTAGACTTCTAATTCATTCTCTCCTGAGGCAGCCCACTCTGGTTCTGGACAGCTGATTTTTTTTTTTTCATTTTCAGTCATTTTTTTAGTCATTTGGTCTTTTTTTTTTTATTTAAAAAAAATTGCACCTGTGATTTCATTGCTACAGAGAATTCCTGATGAGCCAGGTCCCTCTAATAATGACGACTGGTAACCATTGTGCAATTTAAAGACTTAGATATTTTCTTGGGTAACTGAGAGGTTAAAGGACTCTCCTAGGGTCACGAAGTCGGTATGTGCCAGAGGTGGGACCTTGAACCTACTTCTTCCTGACTCTGAGGCCAGTTCTCTATCCGTTAGCCCATACCGCTCCTTAGTTTCTTCATATAGTGAACCCAAATCCCTGATTCTACCACCCATTAGTTCTGATTTTTCCTTCTGGGGCTAAGCAGAATACATATAATCTTTTTCCCACATGAAAACCCTCCAGAAAGCTGGGATCCCAAGATGCCAGCAAGTCTTTTCTTTGCCAAGCTCAATGTTCTTAGTTCCTTCAAGTAATCAGTAAAATCAGATTTTTAGAAACTTTGCTGTCCTCTTCCCTCTTTCCCACCTGATGATCTATAAGAGGCATTAAGAGGGCAAATATGTTTCTAGTATCTCTGAAGGCTTGCCCTATCTATCTACTTTTATAACTGGATCTTAGAATTTTCCCAGAACTTCTCAGTGGAATATTATACTCTGTTATCTGTCTCACTCTCTTTCTTTCTTTCTTTTTTTTTTTTTGGAGGAAATCAAGGTTAGGTGACTTGCCCTGGGTCATACAGCTAGTAAGTGTCTAAGATCGATTTGAACTCAGGTTCTCCTGACTCTAGGACCAGTGCTCTATACACCTCCCCACCTAGCTGGCCCTGTCATCTGTCTTTAAAAGGAATCCATGAGTAGATTGTCTCCATTTTCCTTATAAGAGGAGGTACAAATAGTTTCAACTTACTTTTATTGCTTATCCTCATGTGATAACTAATACAGCTATTCAAATATAATTATTTAGATAACCGCAGCAGTTTTAAAGTATTTCAGGAAATAACATATCTTTTATTTCTCCTAAAAATCTGTTTCTAATAAATATGATGACATAATAATCTCATCATAATGCTATAAGACCCAGAGAGAGAAATGAAATTTCTGCTGAAGTTCAGTTTGGGTACAATAAAGGCAACATGTTTCTCCCAACCCGAGTAAGGCTTTTTCTGACATTCTAGATAGAGTTTCAAATAAAATATTTTTGAGTAATGTGTAGAATCAACTTGCATGATTAGCATTATTAGTACTTTAGTACCTGACTGCTGATATGTGTGTATATATATATATATAATATATAAAATAAATAAATAAAGAATATAATAATAATATAAATAAGTTATATATATATAATAATCTGATTTATACTAAATACTCTGAAAATACTAATCCCTAAGAAAGTGGGAATGAATGAATTTTCTTAGTTCATCAAAGGATCCCAGCTATGAAAACAGTTGAAATGCAGACTAATAGAGGGAGGTCTAAGGAACAGCATACATCTGACTTGTATACCTGGTAGGCTTCATCCTGCAGTTTCTGTTTAAGGTATTCCTCCATCTTGAGCTCATTTTCCAATTGACGGACAGAGTCATTTTCATAATTTTCATCCTCAGTCCTCACATAGGGGTCCCCATCTTCTGTAACCCTGAGAATACAACAATAAAATTAATTGGAGCAAATGGATCTTGGGCACAAAGAGAAATTGTCTGGAACTAAGGGAAAACGCAGATAAAAAATTCATAGCAGATGTGTTTTGAGAGGCAGCATGGTTTAATGAGAAGAGCATTTGGTTTGGAGTCAAAAGAAACCTGACTTCGTATCTTAACTCTGAAACTTAAGCTTTGTGATTTGAGGAAATCACTTAAACTTTTTGAGCATCAGTTTTTGCATCTGTAAAATGAAGACAATACAGTCATCCCTTCCACATTGCAGGGATGAGGGGCACTGTGACCCCACGATCTGGAAAATCTATGTAAAATTTTTTGGCCCTCCCTTTATATCAGAGAAGAAGTCTGAATTATGATGGTATTAAAAGATAAAATATGGTGATATTGTACAATACCATACACATATTTTATGCATTTCTGAGTTTCTAAGCTTTTTTCTGTGTTGTCTGCTGGCCTTTGCGTGTCATTTGCAGCTCCTACAAAACTCCCCCCAAATTCCCATTTAATACATTATGCTGCCCCGTGATGTATTAAAATGATGGGGAAAAGTTGTGATGTGGAAGGGATAACTTTAATATTCATACTATGTTGTAAGGATCCAGTGAAATAACATGCTAATGGCTCTATAAACTTCTAACATTATTATTTTTAGCAGTAATTTTTTCCTTAGTTCTATTCACTTCCATCTCTATGTTCCTTGGGGTTTTATATTCATTTCTAATAACTAATAAAAAAAGCATCCTCTAAAATAACATTTTCTTGTGCTCAAGATCCTGAAGGACAGTTTCTATTATACAGGGAAACACATGATTGAGGACATCCAGTAGACTTGGTATTTTAAACCTTAGGCTAAAATCTTAGAGAAAACCATAGGTAACTAGTAATATACCAATGTTTCATTATGCAAAATAAAACGAATGTTTCACAACACAGATTAACTCATTCCAAAGAATAAACACATGAAATAATGAATTACAAAGGAGAAAAACTTCTATAACAACTATATTTTGACCCTCTATTTTATATTCTGTTTACTACCATTTGAATTTTAAACAAAGGGCAATGATAATTTTAGGTTAATATTGTTCTTTTACAGAGGTGATATAGACAGTGGATAGAGAGGGCTAGGCTTTGATTCAAAAAGACTTGCCCTGGGTTCAAATTCCTCTCTGATGGGATGTATGACCCTAGGGAAGTCACTTAAACACTCTGTACTTCCAGCAACTTCCAAAGATTTATCAACTCTGTCGTAGATGGGTCAAGCTCTGTATTGGTGGAAAGCATTTCATGTTGTGAGTTCCCCAGGACAGATCCTTCACAGATGGTTTTTTAATGCATCAATCTTGATGAGTGCCAATGACTTCAAGAAGGCATCTGGTCCCTTTCTCCTTTGGTTCTTCAAATCAGCTAAGCTTCTTCTTTGGGAATCTACAGAACTTTCTCTGTTTGTTGCCCTTCTTAGAAATTCTCTATAGAGAATGATAGCAGACTCTGCCTTCTAGTAGGTCTTGCCTCCCAATTCTGCTGCATTTAAATGCTCCTCAGTTCTTTTTCTCCATAAGGGTCAGGCCATTGGTGCCATATCTTTTCCAAAATGAAGGAACACCTCTTCTACCTCCATACACCCTACATTTTCTCCAGCTACTCATAGTCTTTTATTTTATTTTGAGGTTTAGAGGAACACATACATAAAAGGGGAGATACTTACATATCACTGCGCATGGTGCCAGTAGCAGCTCCACTGTGAAGGTACCCAGGTTTTCTAGCATGGATTTGTGCAAGGAAAGCCTTTTCAGAAGTGGGTGATGGGACTAGGTCATCAAATTGGGTCCGCCCAAATTCAGAATCCACATTACTCTCTGTCTCACTCCCTACTTCTATCAGGTATAAGCAGAGATAACACAACAGAATTGTTAGCTTTGGTTTCTAGGAAATTCCTTTTACTACTAGCATTGCAAACAGTTTTATTTTTACCTAAATCCCTGAATAAATTTAAAAATCACAGGTTGCATGTAGAATTTTATTCTACACACTGAAAAAAGTGGGATCTTTTTGTCTGCTATAATTGATATGAATCAGAAATTTTTTTCCCCTGCCAAAAACATCCCATTGAATGTATTTTTTTTAAACTTTTCCCTGATATAATGTTATAATCCTGTAATTCTTTTTTTTTTATAATCCTGTAGTTCTTAACATTTTGGAACTGTAACATATATGATGCTAAAAATGCCATTTGCCAATGAAGTCATATCTTTTAGGACAAATTATTATAATTGGGTAAACTGATAATATTTGTCTGGAGAGGTGTTTTATTACCTCTCTGCAGATAGCAAAACGGTCAATTCTTAACAATTTATCTGGGCAGTAGTCCCATGTTATCATCCATGACGGCACAGAGGAAGTCTTTAATTATATACCTTCTTCCTATTTAGTGACTGGACAGCTAGGTGGCACTAGAGTGCATAGAGTACTGGACCTGGAGTCAGGAAGACTCATCTTCCCGAGTTCAAATCTGGCCTCAGACACTTACTAGCTCTGTGATCCTGAGCAAGTCACGTCACCCTGTTTGCCTCAGTTTCCTTATCTGTAAAATGAGCTGGAGAAAGAAATGGCAAACCATTCCAGGATCTTTGCTAAGAAAACCCCAAATGAGGTCACAAAAAGTCAGACAGGGCTGAATAACAATATAAATCAAGCAGTAGATAGAGTGCTGAGCCTAGAGTCAGGAAGACCTGAGTTCAATTCTAAGGCTTGAACACTTATAGCTGTGTGCCTCCAGGCAAGTCACTTAACCTCTGCCTTAGTTCTTCAGCTGCAGAAATGGGGATAAAAATAATACCTAATTCACAGGATTGTTGTGAGGATCAAATGAGATAATATTTGTAAAGTAATTACTTAGCAGAGTGCCTGACACATAGTAGGCAGATGATAACTCCTTGTTTCCTTCTTTCTTTGATAAGATTAGTTGATAACTGCATTGGTAAAGGGAGGTCCCTACATTGATAAAATCATAGATCCTTCACCTATTTGTTTCTGTCAGTGCACGAGATAACAAGTTAGAAAAAGAATGTTGACTTCAATCCAGTTCCCACCCCCATTTTATATTAGGCCTTTCAATATAATTTTGTGTGTCTGTGTTTTTAAATTAGGCATCAAAACATGAAGCCAGTTTATTTCTGGACTAGCTTCTTAATAAGAATAACAGATGGGAAAGACACAGAGGACCAGGATCTCTAGAAGTTCTAATGTTATTTAATTATTAAAATGTGGATTTTAATGCTAAATTTATAATAATAAAAATAAAGTTTCTGATAGTGTCCTTCCCACCTCCAAACTTTGGCATTTAAATATACATTATAATACAGGTGTCAGAATATCAATGAATTCTTCCTTTATAAATTAATTTTTCAGCAAAGAGGACAACAAAAGCAACTTATTGAAGAATCCGAAGCTATCATTAATGTGTCTAGAACAAGTAGGAAAAATTAGAAATACCAAGCTAAAATTGTTTATTTTTATGAAGTTGATATTCTTGACATAATTGAAAACATTTCATGTTAGATGAGTGAGGAAGAAAAAGAAAAGGAAGGAAATAGTGTGTTAATGTGGAAAGGGAGTTGAATTTGGAGACAGAGGACCTGAGTTTGAATCCTGACTCTACTCCTTATGGCCTGTATGACCTTGGACAAGTCACTTAAGCCCTCTGTGACTTAGTTTCCTTAATTTTATAATGAAGGGGTTAGAACTGGTGGCTTCTGAGGTCTCTCCCAGCTTTAAATATATGATCTTGTGACAGAGTTTAGCTCTAGAGAATTTGTCTTGAATGACACATAAATTTTAAAAATTCAAGCTTGTTATTACATTTGCAATGACTCTGGCCCTGACGTCAGGAGGACCTGAGTTCAAATCCAGCCTCAGACCAAACACTTGACACTTACTAGCTATGTGACCCTGGGCAAGTCACTTAACCCCAATTGCCTAAAAACAAAACAAAACAAAACAAAAAATTTGCAATGACCATATGAATCAAGAAAAAGTATACATTTTCTCCTTTTATTATTTAACATGAAGCTTCTTTATTATTTAAGTTTCTAAGATTTCACTAGTAGTTTGCCTGAATCAAGACTACTTTATCTCTTAGCAGTACATTATATAATGGGCTCTAATCCTAGCTCAACTAGGAACTAGCAAGGGGCTCTAGGCAAATCATTTAAGGTTCCTCAGTTTCCTTTCTGTAAAATAGGGATAACATTTAGAGGATAAAATGGGATCTGTAAATTATAATATATACTTGAATAAGTTTTAGTATCTACATTTGCAAACCAAATTCAATTCAGTAAAAATGAAACAAAAAACATGGATTGATTGGACTAGAATCTAGTCCATTGGACTAGTCACTAGATGGTCCCTATTAAGTCCCTTTCAATCTAACATTCCATAATGTGATTAACACTAGTTAAATATAATACTGGGGTGGGGGATGGGGTCTGCATGGCCCTACAAGATAGAACTGGGATGCTGCAGAGGGTTAGACTGAGACTTAAGAAAAGGAAACTAGGAAGCTTCTTTCCTTACTAGGAAGTAATGACAGTGGGATGGGCAACCTTAGGAAGCAATGGATTCTCTGTCACTGGAGGTCTCCAAGCAAAGACTGGATGAATACGAGTATTCTGAAGATGGAATTTTGATCCTTTTGTAAGTTGGTTTCCAAATTCCTTTACAACTTAGAGATTCTATGATTCTGATGCAACAGAAGTTTGTTCGAATGGCTCATAATCAGTCTCATTTCCACTTCTCTTTCTTCTCTCCACACTGTCTCCTTTGGTGACCTCAACCACTCCCAAAGCTTCAGCTATCACCTCAAGGCAGATGACTGTCAAATCTATATTTCCAGCCTCATTCCTTCTACTGAGCTGAAGTACTCCATTTACAACTGGTTGTTAGACACCTCTGCTAGATGGTCCACTGGCATCTTAACACTGAACACTAAAGCCACTGCTTCCACTATCTTCTTCCTGACTTCTCTAGTTTTGTTAATGGAATCACCATCTTCTTTGTCAACTAGGCCCAAAATCTTGCTGTCACAACTGACGTTTTCCCTTACACACTCTCTTATTCCATTAATTACCAAGTCCTATCAATTTCTACTCTACGATATCTTTTGAATTCATGTCTTCTCTATTCCTGCCATATTAGTTCAAGCCTTCATTATTTCTAAAATGGACAACAGTCTTCTAACTGGTAGTCTCTAATAGGGGTGGGGAAACCTGCAGCCTCGAGGCCACATGTGGCCCTCTAGGTCCTCATGTGAGGCCCTTTGACTGACTCCTGCTCTAGTATCTGCCCATTACAGGACATCTTGTTGGAGTTTACATCCTATCTCGAACACTTCTCAGTTATGTCCTCCAGGACAAGTCATTTAACTTCTCTTAGTCTCACGTTCCTCATCTGTAAAATGGGGATAATAATAGTACCTACCTCCCATATAATAATAGTAATCTAATAATAGTACCAAGTTCTCATCTACTGAGGGAATACTTGTAAAGCACTTTGCAAACCTTAAAGTACAACATAAATGCTGAACCACTATTATTTCCTTTCAGTTATTTGATAAAGCTCTATTTTTTTGGAAAAATATCACAACTTTGTTTCAGATGAACTAATCTCCGAGAGGAAGGAAAGGATCATACATTATTTATCTCCATATCCCCTCACTGCATTTAACAGTGCCTTGCAGGTTGATATTCAGTCAGTGTTTCCTGAATGAAGGAAAACACTTTGAAAAGGGATGTAAAGAATTCTTTGTTTTAAGGGATGGCTCTCTGGGAGGGGGAGAATTACAGAGGGAAGTCTAGGTAATGTAAAAAACATAGATATCAACAAAAAGATGTATTGAATAAAGAAAATGCATGTAAAATGCCACACAAGTGTGAGGCGCTATTTTCAACCATATAAATGAAAGCTGTGGAGCACACTAATGTAGATAGTCAAAGGTTCTTGGTCTACCTCCAGTCTCCTCAAACACATTCCAAAGAACTCCTGGCATGAAAACATTGGAGTGAAAAACCAAGTCAAAATGTTATTAAATTATAGGCATTTTGAAAAAACAAAATAATGAGATTAATCGGATGGATATGAGACACAGGGCTATATTAGTAAGAGCAGCAAAAGTAGAGTTGCCTTTTATTTTTTTTAAAGCACTATAAATACTCATGATAAGTGATTTTTTTTTAATGGTATCAGCAACAGTTCTGCAATTACAATCTTAAAGAATTTGTCTGGGACCCTGAGAGGATAAGTGACTTGCCTAGGATTATTTCTCCAATATGTGAAATGCAATTCTTGAACTCAGGTCTTCCAAAGTCCAAGGCCACTATTGGACTCTGCTTCCCATAAACAGACTTTTTTTTTTCAGAGACAAATGGTCATTTAAACAACTATAAAATATATGGACAAATTACTAAGTTTAAAACATGGCTCCTAATCAGCTCCATCTTTACTCTACACTTTGCAAACTGAGCTGATCTATAGACTTTTATAGTTGCCTGTGTAATGCACAGCAGGTGTTTTAATGATGCAGACACGGGTAGCATGTAGAGTCTCACCTGAGTTTAGCTCTTTCACCAGAGAGGACATGGTATTAGTGATGGAGTCTGCAGCTACGAGCAAGTCATTCCTTAAATTTCTCCTTGTACCTTAAGGAGAAAAACATCATACAAAGCACATGATTTTTATCTATTCCCAAATTATGTTTTTTTTTAAACAAACAACCCTCCACCCCCACAGAGCTAGTAAAATGAACAGACTCCTCCAACATCCTGAAGGAATAGACATTATGGGGGAAAAAAAGCCCGGGTTACCTAGGACAAAGAGCTTCATTTTTCCAAATACTATGTACAGTAGTAACATGAAAATTCTTGACTTTTGACTACAGAACTTGTAAACAAATCATCCACATGAATAGTTGTTGTATCTGTTGTTTCCATTTTCTCTCTCCCTCTTCCTTCTCTGCTCCCTGCTGTTCTTAGAGCAGGTTATCAGAGTCCTCATGACCTAGTGGTTTCCCAGCCACTGGTATGACCATATTCTTTTTTTTTCCTTACAGTTATAAAAAAAAAAAGGTTTTTTTCCCCTTAGTATTTTATTTTTCCCCCAATTACATGTAAATTACATGTAATTACAGTTTTCAACATTGATTTTTATAATATTTTGAGTTCCAAATTTTTCTCTCTCCCTCCCCAAGACAGCAAGCAATCTGATATAGATTATACATTTACAATTCTGTTAAATGTATTTCCACATGAGCATGATCACATTCTTAAGGCATGGGAGTGGCTGAGAAAGAGTGTTCTCAGGGCAAAGTATACACTGACCCTGCTAGGCACTTTTCATCATAGTTCCTTCCTCTTTATGTAAGTATATTGGCTCCAAGACAGCAGAAAGCAAAGCTTGGAAACACAAACATTGGGGGCAATATTAAAATGCCCCCAACACCGCAGCCCAAAGGAGGGCAATCAGAACTCATGTGTACATAGATAATGGACGTAAGGGCGGGAACATACCTAGGAAACTGAGGACAAGGACCTTGGCTGCTAGGTCCTTGATGCTCAGAGACATAATGAATCTCGCCTCGCTCCTTTCTCGTACTATCTGAAGACCACAACCTCCCAACAAGCTGTAGAATGCCATGGCCAGGTTTCCATATACCAGACTTGCTCCCAATAGCTATACCCCATAAATATCCTAGCTAAGGGAGCCCAGGGCAGAAGTGCCAAGGCAATTGGCTGGCTTTGTGCCACCTAACATGGTGCCACCTAACACTCTTTCGGTGTTTGGTTTGTCAGTACTTCACTCAGATTATTTTCTGCTTCTGGCCCTGCTAAATATCTCTTTCTAGTGAAAAGAGTTCCAGTTGGAACTCTGAATGCATTTTCTCATTAAAAAAAAATAAATCTCCATAGAGACTATGCTCTATGGTATTATTAATGCTGTATGGTGCTATTAACACTATAGATTACTATTACTGTTGTATTTCAAGTACACTGAAAATTTAAAAAGGCATTTATGGGAGGAAACCAAGTGGTGCAGTGGATAGAACACTAGACTTGCAGTTGGGAAGACCTGAAATCAAATCTAGCCTTAGATTATTAGCAGAGTGATTCTGGGCAATTCATTTCCAGGGGTGGGGAACCTGTGGCCTTCTAGATCCTGACTGAATCAAAATTTTACAGAACAAATCCTTGTAATAAAAGGATTAATATGATATAAATAACATAAACAATACATAAAATAATATAAATTAATATAACAATAAAAGGATTTAATAAAAATTAAATTGTTTAACCTCTCTCAGCCTCGCTTTCCTCATCCGTAAAATGGGAGCACCCACCTCCCAGGATTATTGTGAGAATCAATGAAATAATATTAGTAAAGTACCTTAAAGCACTCTATAAATGCTGGCTATTCACTATTATATAATCTTAGATAGAACCTCATGATTTAAATGTGAATTCTATGGGAAAAATACACTCACCTGACTTATGAATGAAATTTCAAACTACAGCCTTTTAATATATTGGGACCTGAACTTAATATAAAATATAGCTCTTTCTATCACATAACTGGAGGTCTAAAGGTTATTAATTGCTATACAACTTATACCTGTTAGCCCAAATTAATAGGCTAACAGGCTAAAGCTGGATGAGGAATAATTTAAATTTCTGTAAAAATATCACTCAGGAGAAGAGGGAGAAAAGGTAATTTTCTTCTAATTCAAAACCCAATTATATGAAATCTTTATCACAAAATATTTATACTTATTTTTGCGTTAAAAAGCACATGATTATGTTAGGGCTTTGCACTTTGTTTCCTAGACCTGATTGCTTTCATACTTTTAGCCCTTTAAAAAAGTGCTAAGAAAGGTGTGAATTCAACAGGAAGCTTCTATTATGGCCATCCTCCAATCAGATATTGGGAAAGGAGGCGAGGCTGCTTCTGAAGTTCACTGATATCATGACTTTCATCTTTAAGAAAGTTCTGTGAGAAGAGGAAATCCCTCAAGCATCTACACATCACAATAAGCCTCTACTTGTCCATCTCAGGAGTGCTAACCTCCTACTCTCCTGTGCATAAAATAATTAAGCTGCTGTGCTATCTGCAAATTGAATTATCTCAGTCTTTAGTTGGTTATCAGCTAAAAGAGGATGAGAAAGTATTAAGAAATGAGGAACTTAATAGATTGTTCTCATCCCCCAGAAAGTTTACTCTGGGACAGACAGATAGGAAAGTTAACTAAATTTCAAAAAAATCACTAAGTTCACTGTGAATAGCTTTGAATAAGGATGGTTATATTGTTGTTCAGTTATGTCCGACTCTTCGTGACCCCATTTGGAATTTTCTTGGCAAAGATACTGGAATGATTTGCCATTTCTTTCTCCAGCTCATTTTACGGATGAGGGAACTGAGGCAAACGTGGTTAAGTGACTTGCCCAGGGTTACACAGCAAGTGTCTGAGGCCACATTTGAACTCAGGTCTTTCTGATTTCAGGCCCACTGTGCCACTTAGCTGCCCTAAGAATGGTTATACAGTGAAGTAAATAAGAAGCAGGACACATTTCTTATTTCCTTGAAGGCATTTGGACCTCTTCTTTCACCCTTCACTGCTAGTGCCTTCCCTTTCAGATTACCTTCCATTGCATATACCTTAAAAATATAATTTTTTTGCAAGTTGTCCCTCCCATTAGATGGTGAGGTCCTTAAGGGCAAGATCTTTGTTTTTGCTTTTTTTTGTCTCTCCAGAGCTTAGCACAGTAACTGGCACATAGTAAATAGCGAATAAAGGCATGTTGACTGATTGCCTGAATGCTATTGACTCGACATATTGTGTTTTATCAAAGAACCTGAGACATCAAAGATCTCCACTATACTCCTAAAAGATGGCTGTTCATGGAGGATGCAGCAGAAAGGAAGGAGTGTCTACGGTTGATTTAGGGCAAGAAAGTAGAATACATCACAGTACATTGCAAAGCTCTTAGAAGTTTAGATCAATGGCTCTTAATCCGGATTTCACGAACTTGGTTTTAAAAAATATTTCAATAATTGCATTTCAACGTAATCGGTTTCCTTGATAATCCTACGTGTTTTATTTTATGCATTTAAAAACGTCATTCTGAGAAGGGGTCCACAGGCTTCACCTAACTTGTAAAGGGATCTATGATGCACAGAAATTAAGAACCTCTGGGTTAGACCATATGGCAGCATTGAAGTGAACAGATCTCCCCAAGTCCAAGCAAGAATCAAAATAAGGTCACTTACTTTGTGCAAAGGCTTCTTGTACATCTCCTCCTACCCCTGTCAGAGAGTCCTGAGGCGTATGAATTGGGGTAGAGCAGGCAGAGGCTGATCTGATGGGCATAGGAATAGGCCTGCTTATTGTGTGACTGGGAGAAGAACGTGGAGAACCCGCCCCTTGCGTCTGGAAGGACAATACAAGTTGTTAATTTATTTTTACATTAAAAGGCCATGTGACATCTGTAATTCCTCTGGAATTTCCTGCAAAAAACAAAAATTATTAGGCAGAGAGACAGCATGGTATAGTAGACCAGGCACTGGACTTGGGGTCAGGAGGACTTGGATTCAAATCCTGCTACAGACACTTACTATCTCTATGCTGCTCTCCTTTTATTCAACTGTAAAAAGGAATTATTGCATTTGATGGCCTCTAAAGTCCCTTCCAGCTCTGAATCTATAATCTCATGACATGATAAATGCTTGATCTACCTAGTCTGAAGTCATCATAAAGAGATAACACATTTTACATCCTTTGTGATAGGCACGAAATCTTGTACGCCCTAAGTGAAATAGGTTACCTGCTTGATCCCTATTTAAGAGTTTGTTAAAACTTAGTGCCATAGAAATTGCCTTCTACAACATTCAGAGATAGCCCGGTATGGTGGAAAAGAGCAGTGGCCCTGAAGTCGAAGGACATGGGTCCAAATCCTGTCTCTGATATTGCCTGTGTGACTTTGGGCAAGTCACTTAATTTCTCTGGACCTGAGTTTCTTTCCCTATAAAACAAGGAGATTGGACTAGATGACCTTTGAAGTCTTTTTCAGCTTTGACTCTATGATTGCATGACTACTCGAGGATTCTGAGTTCAAGTCATGAAATGAAATAAAAAATCTTGGTTCTTAATCTCTGGTCTAATTATTGGACATGGGCTCCTTAGAAGAAATCTCCCCCCTCCCCCAAAAGGGCATATTCCAAAATGCCAATAATACATTTAAAAGTAGAAGGATCTGGCTTTCCTTGGATTTAATAAATCCTGGCTAGCCAAAAAGAGGGTTCTCCCCAGAGGATAATGATTTTTTCTTCCCTTTCTCAACAACACATGAAATTCTCTGTTAGATTTGGGTTGTGAGCTACATGAGTAGAATGAGTAAGATGCTTGAAAGACTGAAGTAAGAAGGGGGATAAGACAATAACTTAGGGAATTCAGAGGTGGTCATATTTTGAATGGAAAATGGTTGAAACATAATGACAAAGCTTAAACTGGATGATGAGGACTTTGGGGAACATTTTACTTATTTTAAATGACTAGTAAACAAAGCAAGTCAGTCATACCTGAATAAAGAAGATACAACAGGGTCCCCCAAGTACAAAAACAATAGATTAGGTTGTTGACATACATTTCCAGCAAAAAGCAATGTGGACGCTTTCTATCCTGAGAGTCATTTATGCCAACATTCAAGTATTCACTATCTACCAGTATTGGAGGTTCACTAGGTAGGTAGGTATTATCTTGCTTGGGTACGTTCAATTTCAGTTTTTGTGATGGGTTCAGCTGCATGATACAGACAAAATGTGTAATACCAGTCTTGTAAAATGTCATGCTATCAGTTCCTTAGAGTTCAGCAACATATATAAACATATGATCTATATGCTGAGAAAATCCAGTATAAATAAAACAAGAAATCCCAAAATAGCACAGAGCAAGGCAATCGGCCGATGGGGACTACACAGGGTTTCCAATCACTTCAGACGATTTTGTAAATTTTTGCCCGTGCATAAGAAAGGATATTTTGTATAGTTCAAAAGGCTTATCTTGGCTTTCCCTGGCTCACATAAGGGGACCCGGGTGCAAATGGGGTTCAGTTCTGTTGTTATGATTGCATCAGAGGCATGAGCCACTGCCAGTGACTAGGCTTTCTGCTATAGGCCACACCATAGTACCTCTAGTAGAGGGGCTACTGGAAGAAGGAACAGAGTTCCATGGTGTGCAGTTTCATTTTGTCAGAATCTGCTTCTCCTCCTTTTCTAATGGGAAAACGGAGGTACAAAAATGAAATGATCTACCTTGGGCACTGTTGATGTTCTTCAGTAATGTCTGACTCTTAGTGACCCCATTTGGGATTTTCTTGGCAGAGATATTGGAGTGGTTTGCCATATCCTTCTTTACCTTATTTTACAGAAGAGGAAACTGAGGCAAACAGGATTAAGTGACTTGCCCAGGATCCTACAACTAGTAAGTGTCTGAGGTCAGATTTGACCTTAGGTCTTCCTGATTCCAGGCCCAGTGCTCTCTCTACTGTCCCAACTTTGGGCATTAGTCAATGCTTAATAATGGTTGGGGAGTTAAAGGAAGATGTGTTAGAGAAAGGCAAATACTCACTGGCATATACCTTTTTCCCCTCCATACACATTTCAGTTGAAGCTACTAATCTAACTGGGCAGCTACACAATGGATAGAGTGTGGGGCCTGGAGGCAGGAAGACTCATCTTACTGAGTTCAAATCTGGCTTCAGACACTTATTAGCTGTGTGACCCTGGGCAAGTCACTTAACTCTTTTTGCCTCAGTTTCCTCATCTGTAAAATGAGCTGGGATAAGAAGTGGAGTATCTTTACCAATAAAACCTCAAATGGGGTCATGAAGCATTGGACAGGACTGAACAACAACACTAATCCAACCAAATGGATCTTCAAATTCTTAAGCATCTGAGCACCATGAATGTGTGTACCTAAAAGAAATTGTGAAGGTGGCAAATGCTTCTGAGAAATGCACAGTCTGTCAGCAAACAATGCTTTCTCTACACTTGGCCATATATGACTGAGGATAGCCCATGAACAACAGCTAACCTTGAATCTATTCTTGGATTCCATTCACTTCATCATAAAGCCAATTCATTGTGGTAGGTGAGGAATTGAAGGGAAGGAACTTCTTGGATAATAAGAGCAGGCAGCAGGCCTGGTAGGATGTATGGAGGGTAAATAGGTCAATTTGCTGACCACTCCAGAAAGTGGGATTATCTACCAGTCTTGGGAAGAAGGATCCATAAGTGTGTGGAAGACCTTTTTTCAGAATAATAGGAGGGAAATGTATCCCTCTGCTATCCCAAAATTCTCCAGAGCAAGATGATAGGATTGAGGGGGGACCATGGGGTTCCCTTCACTCTAGGGGAGGCCTTGACATACCTTTCCTTTTCTTTCCATCCTTCCCTTCTATTTCCTAGCATATTCCTAATGCCCACCATGTATTGACTTCTGCCTACTCATAGGCCCCACTGCTTCAGACCAGTGAGGCCTTGGTTTCATTCTTAATATCCCACACCCCAAATTAATTCTTTCTATCTTTTCCTTCCTCTCAATCAAAACTCCCATTCTTTCGATTAATATCTCAAATAGGTGGTAACAGGAAAACAATCTGATTGAATGATTGCACACTTAAGTATAAATGACTGATCACTTACCTCCCTTACCTATCCAAGGAATATTTAGATTTTTTAAAGAGGAGGCTTAATGACCAATTAATTGGTCTACTGGGGAGAGGATTTTTAATTTTCCTTCTTAAGGTCTTCACAGCACCCTGATAGAAAAGCAAGATGGCTAAACCACATAGTTCCTTCTGGATTACAGAAGATCTAGGATTTTTTTTGGGGGGGGGGCAGGAGGACACACAAGGAAGAACGGTTGGACTGCTCTGTCCTGTTCTGTGTCTTTATTGTCCTTAAAATAATAATAATGATAGCTAACATTTATGTAGCACTTTAAGGTTTGCAAAGCACGTATTATCTCATTTGATCCCCATAACCATTCTGTGAGAGTTGTTATTATTGTCCCCATTTTGTAGAGAGGAAACTCAGGCTGAGAGATGTTAAGTGAATTGCCCAGGGTAACGTAGATATTAATTATATATGGCAAGAATGGAGCTCAGATCTTCCTCACTCTATCTATTACCAGCTGCTTCCAGGAATACCTTTTGAACCCATTCCATGAGGCATCTTTTACGCCCTCTCTAGGTCTAACCCCTTCCTTATTTCCTTGTTCTTTTGGGGGCTGAATTGTGACCTTGTATCTAAATTTCTGCTTTCCCAGATATAGATACAAATGAACAGCTATAGATCCTTCCATGGAATCTAGCCTAGGATAGTCATCACTGGCCCTAGTAGGTGACCACCCCTTGACCAGGGATTTTATTTCTTAGTACCTGGGTCATCCAAATAGTCTCTGGAGCCTACCTCCTGAGCCAACGTTGCTCCATTTCCAGCCACTAACTAAATTTGTTTATGTAGTATTCAGATTTCCCCCTAGAACATGGTCACCATGCTTCAAAAGTCTCCTTTCTTGGGAATAGGAGAACTGACATTCTATTAAGCCTGGTCTCCTTCTTTTGGCATAAGGGGAATAACACCAGGACTTGTCCCTTCGTCTGAACTGCCTAAGGCCTTGATAGAACAAAATGCTGAAACTAAGCTCCCAGATGAATCCCTACTCAAACTGATTCCTTAATGATTAACAAAATCCCTTCCCCCCTCATCTCAGTGATTCTTATCCTGTATCATCATTCAAATCTCATTCTCCGTCCCCATTCTCTTATTTCTTATTCACATTCTCCTTAAGTCAGCTGGAGAAAATTATAAAACCATGTTGAGGTGTCATTCTCAACTCTTCACTATATCTCCCTGTATCCAAATAGTTGCAAGGGCTTATCATTTTTACTTTTATAATATCTCTCTGATATACCCCCTTCTCTTCTTTGACACTGTTACCACCCTGGTGTGGGCACTGATGACCTCACAGCTTGGACCACTGCAAAAGCCAGCTAGTTGGTCTCCCTGCCACAAATCTCTTCCCATTTTAGTGCATCTTCTACTTAGCTGTCAAAACAATCTTGCTAAAATGCAGGTCTGACTACATCACCCCACTACTCAATAGACCATTATCTTTCTATTACCTTCAGGATCAAATATAGAATCCTCTGTTTGGCTCAAAACCCTTCACAAACTTCTGTATTCCCTACCTTTCAGTGTTCTTACACCTTAGGCCACCCCTCCCCTTATAGACTGTGTGATCTGGTGATAATGACCTCCGTGCTCTTCCTCAAACATGACACTCTATTTCCCAACTCTGGGCATTTTCACTGCCTATTCTTCCATGCATGGAATCCCCTCTTGCCTCATCATAGTCACTGGCTTTCC